ACCATATTTTTAATGCAACTGATTTGTTGAGTTTTCTTGAAATATTGATCTAATCATTTTATTAATATAAAACATTTTTTTTTAAATTTTAATATACGTATTTTTAAAAAGTTTGAGATATTTTATATCTATATATTTTTTAAAATGTCTTACTACAGTCATAATGGAAAAATCTGCTTAATATATGCTTTAATTAAAATTGTTTTCTATAAAAATATTTAAACTATTTAAATATTCTATAATAATAATATTCGAATTTTATTTCACGTTAAAACGATATTTTGAAAATTATTTAAATATACCCCAAAATCACATATCTCCATTATAAACAATGAAACTTTAATGTTGTTGTTGTAACCCGCCGGGACCTGCTTGTGGAGTCCCTTTGGGAGATGTTGAACGGTACTTGGTCGACGTAGGTAACGAGTGGCTCCGGAACGTAGACCCGACCGTTCTTGAAACTTTAATAATATTTTATTATAATAATTTATTAATATTCTCAGTATCACGCTTTTCTCCCAGACAAGCGAAATATATATAATTTTATCTCCAAATATTTTTCTTGAACCATAAATTTGTATATCGTCTGGTTGTATTAAAACTTAATGTACTCTACATAGCTGTTATTTAAATCAAATGAAAAAGTCAAGTTACTCGGCTTTAGTCCTGGTTTATTATGTCGTCCTAACCTAATTCAACAATCTGTTCCATTCCTATCGCTGATACCCAAATTAACTGCAATCACCATGGACTATTATATCACCTCAAGCATTAAGATAATCCGATACTAATATGTTCTCTTTAAAAATATAAAAAATAATATTAATTTCACTTTATTTTTTGATCATAAATAAAGTATTAAACTCAAGCTATAGGAAACATATTTTTAATCATTCTCATTTATTTTTTAAAACGTTTTTCTTATTTAGGTATATAGAATCTAAGTTAAAATATTAAAATTTAACTTAATATTAAAGATTTTGAATAGCTCTGAAACTCAAACAAAAAAATACCTTTTGTATTACGATTTTTTTTTATATAAAAATAATTAATTTTTTTTTTTTGGAGTACTGATATATATTAATTTCTTATAAACCTAAATATTTTTTTTTTTAATTTCATAATATATTTTAATTTATTTGACGCTCTTTTATTAGAAATATATGATAAAATTTTAAATTTAAATTAATTTCTTCTTCGATATATGTGTGAGAAAAATTAGTTAACTAATTAATATATTAAAATAAGTACACTTTAGTTTAATATGTATTGAAGTGAAATAAAAACAGAATATGCAAATAAATATTTATGTCGTTGATGTTATTCAATATATAGATTTCAATGTTGTCTTTAGTCTTAAAAAAAATTATATTATTTAATATGTTAAATTTTTAGTCTTTGTAGTGCTTTAATATCATTTAATGTCTATTTATAAAATAACTGTGAAGAATTATATTCTTTAAACATAGCGAAACAATATTGTTATTTAGTTTAGTTATTTAAAAATTATAATATAAATTACTCTTATGTTAAAAACTAAACTAAATGTATATATATAATGCGAAAATAAGTGAGCACATAAATAGAATTTAAAAAATCGCATAACTAATTTACTGTGTTATATGTATATATACATATAGGGCTGATAATTAAACAATTTGAATTATTTTTCTTATCATATAAATTCATTTGAAGTTATTATAATTCATTTGTTTCAGTTTTTTAAACTTAAGACAATATTGTGGTTTTATAATTTTATTAAAAAGTAAATAATTTTTTAAATTGTTTTGATATAATTTAAAAATCACATAACTATATAATTAAATTTTTGTAATTTTTGTTGAAATTACATATATACATAAATAAAAGTTTTATCTTCGTCTATTTAAAATATCAAAATCAAAAACGGTCAATAAATCAGTTATTTATTAATAGTGTAATATAGTTATTAATAACGATAAAAGACATTCTTTTTAATCAAATAAGTTTCAAATTATTTTCTGTATTGATTTATTTAATACACCTTTGTAAATTGCTGGGTAAAAGAAAATTAATGTATAAATGGATTCCTTTTTTAGTGACATAATCACCACAAATATTAAATCAATTATTTTTTAGCGAAGCATTTGTTACACATTTTAATAATATAAATATATTAGAAGTTCCTTTTGATTTTTATTATTTGTTTATACTTCAATTAATATTCTGTATTTATTTATTTATATTAAAACTACCTTCTATTTTATATATAAAAATAATAATTTAAACAAAATATAAATATTTTTAAAATTGTCAATGAATTAATTTTTTAGTTAATTTATAAAACACATGTTTTAATAATATAAAATTTATAATTTATACATATTACAAAAATAACTTCTGTATTTGTTTTTTTATATATTTAAAAACTACCACACATTTTACATATTTTAAATAAAACATAAATATTGTAAAAACTAATAGCGAAATAATTTTTTTTAAAAAATTTATTACTTATGTACCTGTCAATATTTACTTTACAAAATTAACTTCTATATAATTTCTATATTTATTTATTATTATTTATTTATTATTTTGAAAATATGAAGTATTTTACAGGGTAACAACTAATTTATTTAAAAATCAAATTTCAATAAAGCCTTATTTTCAATTACTGCAATTATTATCAACATATTTACACTATTAATATATGTATACTTTTGTAATAATTATATTAATATATAATTAATGCATTAATGTTAAATAATAATAATAAATATCAATCACATCAAATATATAAAAATATAAAATAAGTTATAAACAAAAAAAAAATGCTTGTCGTATCTATACAGTGTGGCGATAAAGATAGTACTATATACAATGGCTATGAACCACATAAATTTTTGCCATATTGCTTTAGTTTAAATCCCGGCTTTTCTACGCTTTTGGTTCAGTACTTGCAAAACTAATAGGTCGGTTAAAATATATTCTAAAATCGGAAGTTGTTGTTTAAGACTGGTTCGATTTCGGCCTGATTTAAAGCTCTGCTTTATAAATATTCAAAGCTGTATCTTTAACTACAATTTTCTGCTTAACTGAAACAACCGCTTCATATCTATACCATAATAAATATAAATGCAAGGAATAAATTTATATATATTTAAATTTAAGTTTTTATATATATAATGTGAATAAAAACTGTATTTTATTATATATTAATTTCTTAAAATTTTTATTAATGCATTAATTTTTAATGATTAATTTAGTTAAAATAATTATTAATTAAAGTTGACTAAAAATTGTTTAAAAACATTTTTTTAATTTAGTTTTATTATATATTAGTATAATTATTACTAATGTATAATACAGATTTTATTGACAATTGTAAATGATTAAAATCTTACACATTATAAAACCACATTTACACATAATTAAATTAATTTACATTTTAATTTTAACTAATTAAAATAAAAAACAATATATAATTTGATAATAGTGATGTAAACTGTTAAAAATTAATTAATATTTAAGCCAACAAAATAAATGCAATTATCTTGCAAAATTTTTGTATCTAAATTTTAAATAAATGTAAAAATTAAAAAAAAAAACTTTTTTATTACTATTAATATATTTGGTTGATGCAATAAAATAACTATGATATCCGAGACATTTTAGAAGAACTATAAAAAATAAAAAATCTCTGGTTTTGCTTCATCCACCAATTTTTGTAGTTGTAACTCAGAAGGAGAGTACGTTACTTGCCTGTCGAAAAATTAGAGTAATATTGAAATAAATACCAAGCCGCTCATAGAACCGTTTGTGAGGTAGTGATGTGGTGTTATGTTTATTAATACTAAAGGCTTATGTACCAAGAGGAAGAAAGATGGATCATTTGTTAACCTTTGTCATATAAGAGTTATTGTCAGATGTCTGCACGCAAAGTAAAGATGCGTGTAAGTTGGCTATAATTACCAACTGGAAAAATGTTAATTATTTTAGTGGCGGCTTATCAGCATTACGCATCAATCTTAACTATAGTAGCATGATTCTGAGGTTCCTAGAAAATAAATCCTCCAGATCTTTGCTTTTTATTTTTTTTTATTTTTATGTTAAATCTGGCAGTGTTTCTGTGACACTATTTTCTATTCCTAGCATTATTATACTATTCCTAGAAAATAAATACTCAAGGTTTTTAATTAGGAGATTCGTGTCTTTATAATTTTGTTTTTGGTTTAAGCTGCTACTATTTCTTGAACCGCCTTGTGTTAGATTTTATATTCTGTCGTTTTCGGGTTTCTTTCAGTGATAGCACAGATTTCACTAACATACTTTCATATGTAATTTGGAATACGCTGGATGCCATAAAGTTGCAGATGGTAACATTTTTGGACAATGGATAGTGGTTATAGACAGCAACATGCGATATGTACCATTCTTAAGGTTTAAAAGCATTGCAACAAATTTTATATTGATTAAAATGATTAAATTATTAAAAATAAATATATTTTTACCTGAACTTTCCTTTAAAATTTATTAAATACAAAACACAATTTTTGATTTGTTCAAATCCTTTACTTTAAAATAACACGAGTTGGCATGAAAGATTGTGTAAAAAAAATCAGAGCAGCAGTACGCACTCAAAATAGTGGAAACTAGTCTAATTTAGAGACTAAAATCAGTTGTGTTAAATAGTGACACTTAAGGAATAAGAAAGTGTTGGCTGTTCAACCAATATCAGTGGTAGTTTTGTGCAAATATTTTACGAAATTGTCAATATTGTAAAAACAACATAGACAATTATATGATGATATCACTACACAGTGTGGGTTAAGCTGGAAACAGTGATTAACGGACAATTGCGTACTTAACTAACAATACTTCGTACTACTAGAAGTACTTTTCAACACAAATAAACGTTTTTAAAAAAATCAAACCTTTTATTATATATATAGATTAATATTAAATAAACACTAAAATAATAATTATTCACTTCATACTATCATAAGCAAAATGTACAATAATTACAAAACATTCATACTCGAGCGTAAAAAACTAACTAATTCTACATCTTTAACCATAAGTGTAACACGATTTCGATGTAACGTCAATAAGTACGCATCCGAACATATTGAAACCATGTACATTTCGGCTGCTGTTTGCAAAGCTTCTAGCGCTTCCTTCGTTATCCGATCAACAGAGGAGGAGCATTCCATCATTATTTCCCGGACGATACGACCAAACGGTAGCCTTGGTATCAATAAGTTCACGGTTTGTTGCAACCTCACAATATCTTGTATACATTTAGTAGGGGCATTTCTTTTACGTGATCTTCTATTCAGACTAGACTCTACCCTCGCGTTTGAAGCCGCAGCACTTCTCGACGTTGTTGATTGTTGACTTTGATTTCTTGCAGTCGATTTTCTTGCTGTTGGCTTCGTTATTGTAGATTGTTGGCTTTGAAGATTTGTGGCCGACTTTCTAGGTGATAGCCTCCTTGCAGCGGGCACAGATATATTGCTTCTACTTTGGGATGCATTTAGAATTCGACTAGACGCTCTCTCCGGCGACTGGAAATCAGACGAAAAACTGCTTGTGTTATCCGTGTCGGTATCACCCAAATCCATTGAAACTGTTTTTGTACGAGACTTTGGTCCCGGTTTATTATGACGCCTCATAATTTAATTTCACATAAGCCTAATCAACGACAAATCTAAAATGCTTTGGTACTGACGGTTGTTTTTAAACAATTGGCGCGTCAAAAGAGAAATGTCAAAAGATTGGAACAGTGCTGTAAAACGTTTTTATATAAATATCTAAAGCAATACTATACGTTCACAAATACTTGCTAGTTTATGCGAATCTTTCAGTTCTAGTATTTTAAAATAGGTTCAAAAATTACAAAAATTTATATTGCTTTTAAAGTTGATATTAACTGAAATCTTCCAAGGCAGCTTAAAAGTATTTTTAATTCTTTTATGCAACGCTTAAAAGAGTTGTCTTACTAAAATTAATAATTAATTGATTTTAATAAGTTAAATGTACTTTGAAGCAAAATTATTTTAATGCTGTTACGGTGGATTAATATGGTGGCTGTATACCAAAGCCAACTTGAGCACAAAAGGTGTTCTATGATCCTAAAATCGATTTTAATGACCTTAAAGTAACTATAAAGGTTCTCATATATGAAATGATGCATTTAAATCTGAGTATGATATGTAATTAATCTAAATATAAAAGCTATATAACTCCAACGAAAAAAATTAAAAATAGCATTAGAGTAAAAGCATACCCGAACATATATAAATACTATATAATTGTACTGCGATAGTACTACAATGAAATCAATTGGTCTCTCTGAACATGGTCGCTACTTTTTTTAAATTTGATATTTAAAATTTAATTGTAAAAAATCTGCTCAGCATGAAAAATCAGGTTGTATTGGCAAAACTTGATATAAAAAATGAGATTTGAATTTTAGGTTTAACTAAAATACAAGTTTTTAGAAGTTTATGTATAACTTATAGTTACCACAGAACATTTGACATTATCTTGTTTCGCATCGTGTCTGTGTGAACATATCTTAAATATTCATAATATCATTTTTTATATTAATCTTAATAATGAAAGATTACTCCTATTCGCAAGAAATAATGTATATTAATTTTAACTTGATTTTTATCATCCTGTTTGGTTCGATAAAAACTTATTCATATGACTAATATAAACTTAATCTGAGATTATTTATGCCGTGTGAATAAATTATAATTAAAGTTTTTAACAAGGTTCAAACTAAAACCAAAAAATATTACTTTTATTTAGCATGTAAAACTTTTTCGAATTTATTTCTATGTCACTTTCCTGATTCAAATTTCTTAACATATATGCGCAGTAATAATGTCAATATAATCAGTAATCAGTAATAATTAATTAATCAGAAAATATTAACATTCTTTCGTTCTAATAAAGCAACAAAAAAAAATATATTTGCAGCGAATTAAGTTGGAAGTGAATATAAATAAAAATAAAGAAATTTTTAAAAATATTTGCCAAAAATAAAAATAATGTACTATCTGAAATCAAAAATAATTATTTTCGTTTCTTGAATCAATGAAAAAATATCCCATAGTTATGTAATGTAAATTTGCAATACCCTGTATATAATATTTTATTCAATCTAAAAAATAAGGTGAAAAAAATATTTATTAAATTTATTTTAAGCTGACTTTTTAAAATCTAATATACATTTAACATATTCGATTATTATTCACTGTATATTGTATTTTTTGTGTATTAATTTGTGTTATGACTGTGTACTATCTACTTCTACTGTAGTTCATATACACAATATAATGTGAATACAACATTGTGATGAATATGAGGAATAAGAAAATACCGACTGGCGCAACTATCAAATCGAATCTTGCTCTATCGGTGTGTGGACGTGTTGCGCGTTATCATGTGAAAATTTTTGAAAACATATATATATATAATATGAAAAAAGAAATATTAATTGCGTAAATTGTATTTCTTATTTAATTCTTTAGATTTGTGAATTACTTTATAATTAATACATATAATGTGAACCATATCTAAGAAAAGGCATAATATGCATTCTACTAGTAACTAAAAGAAAACACCAGCGCATCAAGTGCGTTAAAGTGGAAAACGTAATGTAAATAATGATAAAAAAATTTTGCTACAATTAAATATGATAAAGAAGATTAAGAATAAATTTAATAAATTATATGTTAACAAAGATGTATTTTTACTATTTGCGGTATTTTGCACGATGTTCCTAATTCTTAATTAAAATTTTTATTGCATTATTTTCATTCCATATTTCATTTCCTCCACTTGTTACGATTTTTATTTGCTTCCTTTAATATCTTCAAAAATTTTGTTACGTGCGTGTTTGTGTTTATTTTGCTTTCTTGTGCATGTTATTTACGTAGAAAAAAACAAATTTTTTGTTTATATGCCTACTCCTTTTATGTGGATTTTGTTTTTATTTTGACATTCGCTTATGCTTTTAGTGTTGCACGGTTGCATGGCTGCCTTTTGTTGTTGTTAGGTATTTTGTTTTGTTAACTTACCTTATGGAATTTAACGTGAAATTTAGCTATTCAAAATATAAATTCCTTTAAAAGTATGTATAATAATTAAACAAAATTCCATAAATTAATGAACACATAGTAATTAATTTTTTTTTGATTTAATTATACTTAAATAAGTATAAAATAATAAATTTTAGCGGATGTAAAACCGCAAAAGTGCATTGGCGTGATATTGTTTTGTTTGTGGAGCAATTGTAAGTGCAACATTGTTTATAAGGGGTATCAATGTGTATAAACATTTTGGTTTCTTTGATGTGCGGAAAAGTATATATTTTTCAGTTAATTCATTTGATTTGTGTTTTTCTTTTAATGAGACAATAAATTTAAACATAACGTAAATAAATACTCCAAACTGTTGAATTTTGTTCATGAAAACTGTTTATGTATTTAAAAGAGAAATAACATGTAAGATATATACATTTACAAATAGTGTAAAAATGATATATAAGGATTTTCTGAGAATATATTTTTAATACAATAAATGGACTTTGGAGACAACTCTATTAAGTAACATATATTCTTTTGCCATTGAACAAAATGGATTTATTCAGTTCCCTTTACGTTTATTGGTTCCAACGTAAATAAATCTTGAGATACAATATTAAAGTATGGCACATAGACATTGGGTACGCATCCTAAATATTTATTAAAAAAATCACTATAAATTATTAACTTGCTCTACAAAAATCATTATAACTGGCACTTTTTAAGTAAGAAAACGTTCCTAGAGATTTTGTACAGAATGTTTTTATTGAATTATTTTTTCATTGTTTTAAATATTATTTCACTTTTTTGTTTTCCATATACTTACTTTTTTGGTGCTATAAGGTGGCACATGTGTATTTAAAAATAGATACATATACGTTTGAGCTAAGTTAAAACTGACTGTATGCGTGGGTAAAGTTGGTGTTGCAGTCCACAGGGATCTATAAAGCAGAACACATGAAAATAATTACAAAGACCTTTACATGGGTTAGGATGTAGATAGATAATGGTAGCGTGCAAGATGATGAAATTGTTTAGGAGTAAGAATGTATTTGGAATGGGCGGAAAAACCTAACCACTTTAATGAGACGGGTCTAAAGATCGATTGGAGTCAAATTTTAGTGTGCATGAAAACAGATTAGCGACGTCATTAATGGTGGATTCCACTGATGTTAGCTCCATTGAAGTAAGTGAGAAACGAATGCATCTTCGAAGGAGGGTTCTACTAAACATGATGCCAAAAAAAAATCGGTATATGACAAACTATTTACATAAGTCATTTTATAGATAATATTAAGTTTTGTGTCAATTTTTTTTGGGCACATTTTTTTTAGCCTTCGTTGTTTCTTAATTAATATTTAAACAGACGATGTTTACATTTCGATTATAATAAGTGGATACAACATTCATCCTTTAAAAACAAAGAAAAGTTAAATTCTGTAAGTTTAAATATAGAAGATCCTATCTCCGTATAATGTTAAGATGTCCTGAACAGCTGACATTTTGGCTTTCATTTCAAAGGCTTAATGTCTTCTGTTCATTTACGATCAGTTAAAAGCATTAAAGATCACCTATAGTAACTGTTCTGCCACTTTGGTAGCCACTATCTCGTAACATTTTTATTTACCATAGTCTAAATGTACTAGTTAGAAATGAATCGATTTTTTAATTACTCCAATTGTTTCCGCTTAATTTTAATATTAAAAATATTTATTATTTTATATACACACACGTAATCCTACACATAAAACATGATTTCTAAATTTAATAATTTAGCAATTATACTGGCTCAACTTTTGGTTAATATCTACTACCAGAACCCAATTCTTCTCTACTTAGAGATTCTCTTATACTCCACACGAGAAAAAAATAAACATAATTAACCAAAAATATAAAAGCAAAAAAAAAAGAGGAAAATTAACAAAGTCGCAGACGTAATTTAAAGCAGTGCAATAAAAAAATTATTAATTAATAAATTGTCATAAATTTTGTTGCTTTTATCGCTTATCAATACGAAGGCGGCATAGAAAAAGAAAACTTTAAACAATTTAAACACTAAATAGCAACTACTACTACCGAAAAAAAAATTAAAATTAAAACGAGATATAGAGAAGAAAATAAACAAAAACTATGGTATGAAAAATGCGAATTTGTCATATTCATTGTAATCATACTCTCTACACTCATATGAAAATAGTTTATAAAGTTTGTCATACTATTTTTTTATAGGAAAATAAAATCACAACAATCTATAGATTTAGAAGTGCGCGGGTCTATACCTCAGTGTTACAAATTTAAGGTAACCAATGTTGCTTATACAGTTGGAGTTGCACTTCCCTCTTGAAATACTAAACATAATTGCTTCCTAAAAATGGTGGTACAATCAGGTTAACAAAAATACAAACGTCTATCAACGTCTGTATTTAGCTAAACTGAGTCTATATTCAATCGATAGATGAATAACGTCTGCCTAAACCAATACGATTTATTTTGGCTTGTCTAAGGTTAAGGAACATCTAAACAAATTTTTGTCTACACCGATTTTTATCACATATAAACCTGGTAACCAATATATGCCGTAATAGAGCTTCTAAAGAAATCTATGGTTTCATGTCATTAACATTGCGATATTTCAGATTTTGAACTCAGGTTAAATTTAATTTCTTTCCTACGTTTTTGCTCCATTGTTCATTTAGGATTGAAGTTAAACAGTTAAAGTTGCATTAATAATTAATTAATAAGCAAAACTGTTTGAAAAGTCTCAGTTCTGATTAATTGTAACCTAAATTTAATGTTCTAACTTTTCTTATACGTTCATATATATTTATTTGACAATGTATTTTTGCTTTATATATGAGCCCTAAAAGTTAAAAAATTTATTAAACCAATAAAAAATTATTATTATTAAAATATTTAATCTGGTGGCTTACCTCAAACACATAGACCTATTTCCAATTTTCTTCAGACCTCAATGTAAATTCGAAACAGTGCTTGATTTTTTGTTCCTTACACCTTTTCCAACTTTCGGAATTGTGAAACCAACCTCAATAATTTTAGCTGTAAAACACATAATGCTCCGAGATGTCCCATTATTCCTTTCGCTCTCAGCTGCATACGTTAATTTTTATTGTATTCTTATCTTTGTTGTTTTTAACTTTAATTATCGTTAGCAAACTAAAAATTTTCTAGAGAACAGTTATAAATAAATTATAATAAATTAAATTATATTAATAAATAATTAGTTTTTAGCTATATAGGTGAAATTCTTCAAGATCTCTACTAAACCAAAAGTAACTCTTTTTCTTTTTTTCATTACAGTTCGAGGAAATGCGGAGAGCTTGCTTTAATGTTTCTTTTTAATTTAAATGTACATAATCTTATAAAACGAAAAAGTTAATAAAATAAATAAATATATATATAATATATTTAATATAAATAAAAGGTTTCATTGTGGCGTCGCTTATGAAGAATCAATAAGAATGGCTTCAGAGCCATTGTTTAAACATAAAATAACATTAAAACCACCTGCCAGAAATAGAAAAATCGAGAAGGCTCCAGAACTTATAAACTCTTCAACACAAATTAAACAGTTAAAAAAGTTTCTAAAATGTAATTGCAATACCAAAACAAAATTAAATAACCACATAAATATATTATTTAATATAATAATAATACAATTTATTACAATTATAACAAAATCAGTTTATAAACAAATAAATAATATTAATAACAATTTGTGTCACAAAAATGTGCAACACCATAAATGGAATTTTTTATTGATTTTCATGATCTTAACTTCCTGCGTAGGTGATAGTTACCAGGCTAGAAATGGTAAGTACATATATAATATTTTACTACAATTTTTTAAAACAAATGTATTTTGTCATTTAAGTTGTTCATTATAAATAATTAAAATAATTAAAATTTATAGTATTTTAAAAATTATATTTTTATATAACAATGGTTATTTTTCGAAGTATTCAAAAAATAAACCTTACTTCAGTATGCTCTACTCTTCAATAGTCTAGTTTCTTGAGTTAGAAACAAATTATTTTATCTTGTAAAATGTTTTGCCTTTCACATTAGTGAAAGATAACTCACCTTTTGTTTTGATATTATTGCTATCTATAGAGATTCTATCTATATGACACCTGAAAATTTGTTAGAGTAGTCTTGAAAAACTTGTCGTCCTCCACAGTATTTAATAGACTACTCTCAATATTTTCTTATGTGGTATCATAATTTAATGTGAGTCTTGAAAATACAGTAACATATATCATTGTTCAAAATTTCCAGAGATGGAGATTAGTTTACAATAGAAAATTAGATATAATAAGATAATATTATATTTACCTATATTATATTTTTGACATCTTAAACAAAGTTTTCTAGAAAATTATGAGTACATAGTTCGCTAAGTTTTCAGCAAGTTATTTGTTTTTTGTGTTCATTCAGTTAAGATTTCTCTCACTCTCATAAACCCCTTTTAAGCTCAAGCATTCACTTATTCGAAATTCATTCATTTCAGTACTGCTCTATTCCTATATTTGGCTACTACATTGAAGTTCTCTATTAAGCTTTTTGGGATGGATTTAGTCTTTAGTCTTTTTAGTATAGAAGACTATACTAGGGTTTTTGCGAGAAATGTGGTAGTAAAACGGCGAAAAATTGCTAATTAAGGTACATGGAAGTTATCTAACGGCCTGCCATTGCAACCAACCAAGGTTTTTGGCCACTTATGTTATATTTTACAACATTTTAAATGTTGCAATTATTTTAAACATTTAAAAAGTTATAATTGATTATGACTCCTAAACTGACTGTTAAACTTGAAAGAATTTTTGGCATCTTTAACGATTTCAATAGTTCATCCATGTAAAAATATCGCTTCTCTGTAAATTATTATAAAACTTTATGTCATGGAACAAAAATTTGTAAAAATTGTCGAGTTTAGTAAATTTTTTTAACTTATTTCCTTTGCTATATCCGCATTTAGACCATATTAATATGCAATATAGATGCCGTCATTCTGCAGCTTGAGTGGTTACAAGACCATAAGACTCGGACCATGTAAACAACGGCATGTAGAACGCACTGCTCAATTTTTACTTGAAAAAATATGTGGACTAGATAAATATAACCGTGTTTTACGATCAGTGAAATACGCAATATGTTTTTTTAGAATCGGTATTAATATCTTACAAGAAAATAATATCGTTTAGGACAATACTGAGACTCTGATTTAATATATCTTACAATCACTTCAGCTGCAGACTGCCAATGTCCACCGGGGCTTATTCTGTTCTATATAATTGAGAAGATTATAGCCACAAGCGATTTGTAAGTTGATCCTTTATTATTCAAAATGAATTTTTAAATAATTTGTTCCTATTGAAACCTTGCATAAAATAAATTTGCAATACATTTTAAATACTCTATGCTTACCTAAAGTCTAGGACAACAAAGACGATAAAATTACTTTATATCCATTCATTTGCTTTGCAATTGTGCGAACCATAAGGACATAGCTCGCAGACATTTATTTAATTGAGAAATTATTTGAAAACTGAAAAAAATTAAGAATTTTAAAAACAATATATATAAAGACAAAAATGAACCATGGATTCAATAATAACGTATTCCGAATTTATACAAATAAAGGATTGGTTCTTTAAAAACATTCTTTAAAAGAAAAAAATTAATAAGAAGCGTATGAATTCAAAAAAAAAAAAAAAATAGAAGAATCAATGAAAACTGGAAAAATAAAAAGGAGTGAACATTATTTTTTTCAACATTGGCAGTCCAAAAGAGGATTTTCCTTTGCCAGTTATTTTCTACTTTTTCTTTTTAATACTTCAATTTCATTTTTTGCCATTGACATTGTACCAAATATCCACGAAAGTCATTGAAAAACTGCAGTTCAGCTCAGTTCAGTTCAGATTTCGCGAACCACCCAAAATGTGTATAAATCGGGACCGCACGTTCTACTGCATTTTTCCTTCTGACAACATCATCCTTTATAGCTGTGTTGGCTATAAAAAACGCTAACAAACTTCACAGCACAAAGGCAAAATTGCTTTTGTATGCGATTTGTGCAAAAGTGCAAAAACTCCCAAATACTTTTTTATTGAATCCGAATTTGAATAATAAATATCGTCCTCTTCCATTTGTTGCTCGCTTACCCTGTATTTTCGAAGGCAAAGACACATATACGCTATACGCAGGAAAAAAGGAAAAGCCCTTTGTTTATTTCGCTCCGTTAAAAGTAAAGTGAAGTGCATCTCGTTTTGTGCTCAGACTTTTTTATGCCGCACTATTCCATTATTCCCTTTTTAGATGTCCTACAAAGAGATGTTGGAGTATAGAAATGTTGGCGGCAGTCGGAGGAAGGCAATCAGGCTGACGTTTAACATATTGGAATTTGTGAATGTTCACTGGTGAAATGTAAATGTTCCTTTCGTTTACGTTTTACTAGTATGTCTATGGATGGCTATGAACGTCATAGTAGTAGTAAACGTCATCTCGTAGTAAGTGATGAAAGGACATCAAAGGAGTCATATTCGTTTTTCGTTAGGTTAAATCAACAAAATTTCATTTTTTTTTATTTCTATTTAACATTAAATTTTCTTCCTTTAAGGCACACATGATGATGATGACAAATTGTATAAAATCACGTATACGATATATATATATACCTTACTCACATGCATACATGACATATATACACACATACATAACATATATTTCTATGTAAATATCATTTAAATAACGTGTTAAATTAATTTTGCATATGTGACAGTGAGCTCAAAAGCTATTCAAGTTAGGGTGTCAATTTAAGGAATTTAATTTTATTTTAGGGTTGGAAATTAGCATGAAATATACTTGGGGGAATAGAGCCAATTATGTAAAATGTTGCATTTCTTAATTATGATCACATAAACGGTTTTTTAAATAATGAAACAGTTGACAGTAACTTACAGATAATAGATTTAATTATAAATAAACAATAGTAAATCTAAAAAGTATGACTACCATACAAAGTAATCATAATATCGGTTTGTGTATATATAATTGGTAGGTTCAGGTACAGGTAAACTGTTCTATCATTGATGTAGTTAAGTTAATTTTATTGGCGGTAGAGTTTTCTCTTCTATTCAAGAACTATCCGACGCCGTTTTATTATCCCACACTATTCGATAATTTTAAGTTTAAAACCAACGTTCGGAGGCTAAAGATAAAGGAGAAGGTATCTAAAATATGATAATTTGTAGTGTAGGCTCATATGTTTCTTGAATTCCTTAGCGAAATATCTTAACCCTGACATAAATATTTACATTGAAAGTAATCAGCGATTTCTTTTATTTCTTAAATTATAATTTTTATGGGTAGTCTTGTCTTGTGACTGGGATGCAAATAAAAAATTAATTTATATTATTTTTTCACCCGATGTTTCGTTGGTTTTTTTCCAACATCTTCAGGCGTATTTTTCTTCTTATTCTTTGACACTGCATTTCAGGTTGCATAGGATACGTAAATTTTTCGGTAACAACTTTATGGATATGTAATCTTACTCTCCGCTAGTACGAATTTAATCTATTGATTTAAATTGGTAGAATAATGTCATTGCAGAGATCTCGATGATAGAAAAATCTATTACCATATTTGATCAATGTCAGATTTCTCTCCATATTAAGAGTTACGGGAATGGGAGTCGCGAGGGTTCCATTTACTAAGGTGATAAGGAGGAAAGAATGAAGTCAAGGTATAGGGATATTAAATCTGCAATGGTCATGAACTTGTTTACCTTATTTCTGTTATCACTACCATTTGTGAATTGGAAACTAAGGTGATAAGGAGATAAGAATTAAGTAAAGGTAAAGGGATATTAAATCTGCAAGGGTCAAGAACTCTCCTTATCAAACTAAGGTGATAAGGAGATAGAAATGAAGTAAAGGTATAAACGTTATTAAATCTGCAATGGTGCAGAACTTTTTACCTTATATCTGTTATCACTTCTGAAAATAGGTGTTTTTTCTCTATCATGCCGGAAATAAATGTTTATAGCATATAGCATATAAATCTATATATTTCTGTTACTAATGTTCAGTTTTCCTAATAAGTAAATAAAAGTTTCGTATGTATTAGATATTTAAAATATATATAAATCTGTGTTGTACAATGAAAAGTTTTAAGGTTATAGTTTTTATTTGTGTCATACCTTATGAACTGTAATGAAGTTTTGTTTTAGGTCCAACAATTTTTGAAGTCGTACTAGTATATTCTAGTAATATCCATTACTTTACAAGACCCAACAGTTTTATTGGTCTTATTGGTATTAGACTCAAAGAATATAATATATTAAAAATCTCTTATATAGTACTTGTACTTGATCATTCTCATACTGGTAAAATCCGTCATTTCTCGAATTTAAAGTAATGATTGACACAAATCGATTGCATTTTTTCACTCGTGTCTCCAACATATTTGGAATTTTTTTTTTTTTGCTCTATCGACATTTTGTGAAACACGCATAATAACAAGATTACGATAAGTGATAAAACGGGACAACTCCAAGGCGTGCACTCGGAAGCACACAAATTGAAAATTGTATCTGTGAAAAAAAATTGCAAAAACAAATATAGAATAAAGCAAATTGAACAGTGGCAGTTTCGATGCAAAAGAGAACGATTAAAATAAATAAAAAAAAATTTATTCCTACATAAAAATAAACTTTATGTGTTCAAAGTTTGCATATGCGAGTAAATACAATAGTTTTTTCTTATTTTGGGATTGCAGTTTGTGTTCTTTTGATATGGTTTCCTTCCAGTAGTTCGCTTAAAGGGTTTCACTTTGTTTGCTTTTTATTTATTTTTTGTTTATCAAAGAATTTGCATTTATATATATGTATATATACATATTCAGATAAGAATTGTGTGCTATATTCCTATATAAAAGATATTTACCAATCCATTGATCAAGTACACAATCATGCGATTAAATATTAAGAGAAAGGCTGCGAATGCATATAACACTATTATATTTTGTACTATATCATATTAGTATATTTACGTATTATATTATATGTATATACATATTAATTTATATTATAATATATAATTGTCTAATGTATATTACATTAGATATATAATTATCTGCCGTATTAAAATTAAATGCAGAAATACCAAATAAATATTTTTGAAATGCTTTAGAAAAAAAAGGTAAAAACACATACATATGTACGCTATATAGTAGCACTTTTTTCTCTGCTCTTAAACTAAGCTATTTAAATAGTTTCTATAATAT